TGCGGAAAAAGTACTGTTACTGATTTTCTAAAGAAGTATAAGGAGACAGGAGAAACAGCCTGTCAATCTGGATTAGGAAAAAAGAGAAAAACTACTTAAAGAGAAGATAGAAACTGTTATTACCAATATTTCTGGAAAAACCATAATTCGTTGTTTACATGTAATAATCAGGATTTTGATTAGGCTATCAAAAAACCTTTTTTATCAAAGATCAACATTTCGCTTAGGCTTCAATGGTGCAGTGAGCATAAAGACTCTTTTTAGCTTTACATGCAATTAAGGATTTCGTGTTTGGAGGCGTAGTAATGAAAAGTATTACCATGAATGTATAAAAGTCACAGTTAAGCATAAAAAAAAGATTGACATATGGAAATGCTTTACCACACATGCTACAGGAGGGATTCACAATATTAAAGGCAATATGGATCAATACGAGTACCATAGTACCATTGTTCATAATGCAAAGCCAAGTTATTTGGATTTATGTCCAGATGGTAACTATGGTAACTATCTATTTCAACAAGATAATGATCCTAAGCACACTGCAAAATAAATCAAAGCATATGTTGAAAAAAATATGCTAACTTTGAAATGGTCGCCTAGCCAATCTCCCGACCTAAATCCAATTGAAAACCTATGGTCAATACTCAAAGATAAAATTAAAAGAAGAATGTGTAATGATGAAGTTTGTCTTTTCAATTGCGTAAAAGTGGCATGGAATAACTTAGAACCATTGCTATTAACAAAGCTTGTTGACAGTATGCCTAAAAGAATTAAAGCAGTCTTAGCTGCAAAAGGTACTATGACCAAGTACTAGATTTTGAGATTTTGTTTCAAATAAAATGACTCTTAAAAGATAATAATAGAATACAATAATTCTGCCAACAATTATTTTGCACTATGTATATTTGGTAATACTTTTGTATTTATGAAATCATCATTACATTATAAAATGTGTCTTTTAATGTTTTAATGTTGATTTTCTTCAAATAAACATTTTGGTAGTATTTTTTTATCTTTTTGAATATAAATATATATATATATATATATATATATATATATATATATATATATATATATATATATATATATATACACACATATATATATATATATATATATATATATATATATATATATACACATTTTATATATACGTGTTAAAATATTTATAATATTTATATATTGATACTCTAAATAAAATCACTCATTAAATTTGTTTGCTGTATATTTTAAATAGAAATTTTGTAAAAAAACCGCATAAAATTTCTTGGTTGGTTTTTTTTAGCCCAATACTGTATACATATATATATATATATATATATATATATATATATATATATATATATATATATATATATATATATATATATATATATATATATATATATTTGTATAGTTTTTCACTTACGGGGACAGATTTTACAAGAAACAAACACTTATGGGGACATTAGTATTATTGGACTGACTTGCAAGATAGTGCTGCTATATCGACTGAGGGTTTAGTTAGGCCAGGCATCAAGATCAGGATTAGGGTTAGGGTTACGGCATGGTTTAAATTTGGTTATATTATTGTAATTAATCGTTTTTGTAAATAAATCAAGTTAAAAATGAAATATAATATAAAATAAATAAATAAAAATAACAAAAATTAATATAAAAAATATATTTTTATAATAAAATAATAAACTTAAATATGTATAAATAAAAATAGAAATATAATAAACGTTAAAAAATATATATAAATATGATAAAAATAGTATAAAAAAGTAAAAAAAAAAAAACAGAGCAGGAACAAAAAAAAACATGTCCCCGAAAGTTGCAACTAGGATGCTATATATATATATATATATATATATATATATATATATATATATATATATATATATATATATATATATATATATATATATATATATATATATATATATATATGTATATATATATATATATATATATACTCTTGCATGGTAGTTAAAAAGAGTTTCCCATAAACTGTAGTTTTAAAGAGCGCGTTAATAAACCAGACCAGAAAAAGTTTAAAAACTTAAATTTTTTTTTTTTTTTTTTAAATGATAGACTGCCTGCCCAAACCAAACCCTCAGTCGATGTAGCAGCACTCCCTTGCGAGTCAGGCTATTTGTCAGTCATTGTAGCAGCTCTCCCTTGCGAGTCAGGCTATTTGTAAGTCGATGTAGCAGCACTCCCTTGCGAGTCAGGCTATTTGTCAGCCGATGTAGCAGCACTCTGTTGCGAGTCAGGCTATAAGATAGTCGATGTAGCAATATTAATGCATGTTTTAAAAATGTTTTTTAATAAAACAAAAACAAAAACACTACTAATTAAAAAAAACTTTCTAGTCGTTACTATTGCGCTTTTTTAAAAAATTTTTAAAAAACAATAAAATTTAATGTACTTCCGCATTAATTTAATTGCTTTGACATTTCGACGACAATCAAATACAGCTTAAGAGATGAGGTAATTAAAATTGTAGTTGAAAGAGACTTTTTTTACATTAAAACGCTCTTTCGACTACACTATAAGGATATATATATATATATATATATATATATATATATATATATATATATATATATATCCTTATAGTGATTATAAAAATCATTTTTATAATCACTATAAGGATATATATATTTTTATCATTATAAAAATATATATATATATTTTTTTATTTTTATTTACATATAGAAAAAACAACTTTTCATGGAACTAATAGTTTCATGCCTATACGGCAATCATCAGCCATGTACTATATCAAAAACAAACAAAACGTTAATAATTTATTTAGATTACCAATTTTTGTTGCAACATTTTTACTATACGGGGGATTATACCAAATAATGTTTTGTTTGTGATTCTTGTTTTTAGTGGGAACTATATCTGACTGATATTTGAGCTTGGATGAGAAACCCGATTTTATTAATGCATCCTGATAAGGAGAAACAGCTTTTTCAAAAATTTTTTTGTTTGAAGATGCAGTAGACAATCTTAGTTCAATTGTTAAAAATAATTGATGCAAGCTTTCCTGTTGGTCATTTATTACACAAGATTTTTAACAGAAACACCATTAAAATTAGCTACTCATGTATGCCGAACGTTAAATCAGTCATTAACTCGCATAATCAAAATATTTTATACAATCATGAAAAAACAACAACAAAAACTTGCAACTGCATCAATAAATCTACCTGCGTTATGAACAACCAGTGTCTAAGTAAGAACATTGTGCATCAAGCTACTGTTTCATCCAATAAACCAGATTACACAGATAAAGTTTATATTGGTATTAGCGAGACCCCTTTCAAGTTAAGGTATGCAAACCATTTCAAATCTTTTAATTTAATTAAGTACAGCAATGATACGGAGTTATCTAAAGAAATTTGGAAACTTAAAGAAGAAAACTTTTTGTTTGTTATTAAATGGAAAATTATCAAGCGCTGCCAAACATATAATCCTTCGTCCAAAATTTGCAATCTTTGTCTTAATGAAAAGTATTTTATTTTAACGCATACAGGGGGAAACCTGTTGAACAAAAGGAACGAGTTGGTTTCAAATTGTAGGCATAAAAATAAATTCCTTCTTTCGTTTTATGATACTGGCGATTAGCTTATTTATATAAGATTTTCTTTGACGTTTTTTTTTTTGTCTCTATAGAGACGTCAGATGTCGCTCCACTGTATTTTGTCATTTTATTAACGGTTTGTTTGTTTTTGATATAGTACATGGCTGATGATTGCTGTATAGGCATGAAACTATTAGTCCCATGAAAAGTTGTTTTTTCTATATGTAAATAAAAATAAATATATATATATATATACCGCTCTAGTTAGAAAGTTGTTTACTTTCTTTATTATTGAGCACTTTTAACCGAAATAGAGTTTTGTATTACTATTGTAATACAAATTTAACATCAATCGATATATATATATATATATATATATATATATATATATATTTCTAATATATATATACATATATATATATATATATATATATATATATATATATATATATATATATATATTTCTAATATATATATATATATATTTCTAATACATATATATATATATATATATATATATATATATATATATTTCTAATATATATATATATATATATATATATATATATATATATATATATATATATATATATATATATATTTCTAATATATATATATATATATATATATATATATATATATATATATATATATATATTTCTAATATATATATATATATATATATATATATATATATATATATATATATATATATATATATATATATATATATATATATATATATATATATTTCTAATATATATATATATATATATATATATATATATATTTCTAATATATATATATGTATATATATATATATATATATATATATTATGTATAATATGGAATAATATGGCTGATGATTGCCGAATGGCATGAAACTTTCAGTTCCATCATAAAGTTGTATTTTTTTCATTTAAATTATTTTATTATATATATATATATATATATATATATATATATATATATATATATATATGTATATATATATATATATATATATATATGTATATATATATATATATATATATATATATATATATATATATATATATATATATATATATATATATATATATATATATATATATATAATATATATATACACACACAAGCCTTGTTAAGTACTGCTGCACCATTCAAATTTTACATACAAATTGGGGATTTGTATGTAAAATTTGAATGGTGGTTTCAGGGCGTATGTATCAATGTTTACGCAGCCCTGCGTGAACATTGATACATTCTAAATATTTATCATTCTCAACATGGTGATGCTGATGATGATTATTACCATCATTATCATTATCTTTAACTTTTCCCTTTTCACTATGCTGTTTCTTTATTATAAACTAACTCAAGCATCTTCGTTCCTTAATTGAAACTTGTTCATACCATATTTAAAAGACTGCAAGTTTTCTTACTTTTACCTCTACCTTTTTCTTGTAAAAATAAAATCTCTTTGATACTTGAATCATCTGCATCCTCATACACTCAAAATACCCAAACCACTTGAATCTTCTCTGACAAACCTTGTCTGATAAGCTCATTATTTCTAATCTGTCTAAGATCATGGCTTCTTTTCTTGTCTTGTTAGAGTAACACCGCACATTCTTCTGATCATTATCCCTCTTAATATGTAAAAAATAATAGCACTTGCTATTACATTTAGTTTATGATATCTTCCTATTATTACAGTTAAAAAAGTCACCTGTTGTACAACATCATCAAAAGCTAATTGATTATCAGAGAGGAAGTTGTTAAACTCAAGATGGGTGACCATGACTAAGCCACAAGCTGTAGATAAGTAAAAAAGAAAAATAACTTTAATGACTGAAGCAGGAGTAAAATTAATGTCTAAAAATGGATCAACTTGTTTCTCTGGTATGATAAGATGAATGGGGTTATTATATTCAAGAGATGAATGAGAGAAAAAGATCTTTGCAAACAGCCTTGCATTAACCTTAGTAGAGGTAACAAGATTAGACCCATGAACTAGTCATGGAATATTAGATTTACTTTTGTAGATGAAACTGTTAAATATTTTCTGAAAGCCTCTAGAACTTCTAAGAAAAAAAAAATAAGAATAAAAGCCAAGGGCTATCAAGAAGAAAATTACTTTAATGTAGATGTAAGAAATGTATTGATAGGGTGAATAAAAGATAGAAGTTTATGTAACATCATAATATGGTCCAAACAATCCCAAAGGGAAAAACTAAACACAAACTCGTATCTGAGACAAGACACAAATCAAGGAGAGAAGGTAAAAGTTTAGGGTTGTTGCGAAAACGAGTCACAAAGTTGACTATCTAAGTTAGAAACTCAGATAAATATTTTGAGCTTTAGTGCCAACAAATTTACCAATAAAAACAAAATTGGCTGAAAGATAAAGAGAAAGAGCTTACTCAATTTGATTAGAAAGAACCTAGAATTGAGTGCAGTCTTCGGAAGGAGAATGATAAAAAACAATGAGAAAGGTAATTGAGTGAAGAGATGATACATGGAAGTAAATAAAAGAATAGTCAGAAGATTAAAAAAGTTTGAGACACAGACAATGAACTGTTATGTAAGTATTATACTTACATATACTATATGCCCAGGCCAAACATGCGACTATTAGAATTGTTACACATTAAAGAATAATAGAAATCAACACTGTGATTGAATTGGTTGTTGTCAGCAATTCAAATTAGTCTCAAATCATATCTTTTTCCACCTACCAACACCAAATATTGCATGACTTGTTTTCAACCAAGTTGCATCTTTTAATTTAATTGTTCCTCTATGATCAAAAAACTTTTTTTAATTTTTATCCTCATATACTAGTGCTTTGAAATCCGCTCTAGCCTTCATGTTTCCTGACTAATTATTAAAATTCATATCTAAAATCATATTTAAAATTTCATTTAAAAATTTAAAAATAGCTTTCTTGCTATTAACTTTTTTCTTTCTTTTTCTTCTAGTAACTCCCAGAATAACCATTGGTTGCCAGCAGCCTAATCAATTTCAGTTAATCAATAATTCCATATAAAAAGACCCAGAAATTTTTAAAAATGTCACCCTATATCTCAGATTTTGCTGATTTTTACACAGTTAAGTATATTTAGTTAAATAAGAATTTTATGAGGCCGGGGCACCAAGGTTCATGCCCCACTTATTTTCTCTGAAAATATTTTTTTTATTTAATTTTAACAAAGTAAAAATAACTTTAAAAATAATTGAAAAATAATTGAGAGTAAAATGAGAACTAAATAATTAAACAAAACAGAACAAGTATAACCAAAAAATATAAAATATTTTTAGAGTTAAAAACAATATTTTTAAAATTATTTTTACTTTATTAAAATTGGATAAAAAAAAAAATCTTTTTAGAGAAAATAGGCGGGGCATGGGCCCTGGTGCTCCGGCACCATAGACCCCCTGGGAGTCTATCCCGGAAATAACTTTAACACATGTTCATCAGGACTACACAAATACTGAAATTTTCAGAGCTCCATTTTGTACCAATTTATTTAAGCTGATACAGGTACTGAAAAATATTTTTTTATACTTCTGATAATTTTATTGGATTTATCACCCCTGAAAATAGCCAGGTAAAAATTTTTTAGGTATAAAGATCAAATATTTTTAAAGTTATGTAACTTGAAACCTCTAAACAAATGTTACAATTCTGAAGGACAAAAGGAGTCTGGCCAATATCTGCTAAAAGTAGAATGGTCATATTTTAGGTTCTTTTAAGAGTCAGAGGCTTAAATTTTCAAGTAATTCTTATTTTACTAAGTACTCTTAACTTAAAGTACTCTTATAAAAATCAGCAAAATCAATTGACATTGATGGGTCAATTGACATTATACCCTAATGTTAAGATTTGGTCTACTTTTTTCTGAACTCATTCAATGGATGTAAACAAACTTTTCACATCATAGGAAACTAGGTAAACATTAAATTTTCTTCCATATTTATGTTTATGTTTTATCTTTGTTACTTTCATTTAAACACTCAAATTCATGGGAATGCATGGAGTAAGAAAGCAACTTCAAAATTTGTAGTTTTATGTACCTTAAAAAGAAACTATAAGTTTGAAAGGAATGTTTCTTTAAGTGGTTATTTTATGCATTTCAGGTTTTCTATACACATTCTACATGTCATAGAGCCAGTCGGATAAATGTTTTTACATTTTTCAGTATTAAATATATTTTTATATTTAAATTTGCAAATATATATATATTATATATATATATATATATATATATATATATATATATATATATATATATATATATATATATATATATATATATATATCTATATATATATATATATATATATATATATATATATATATATATATATATATATATATATATATATATATATATATATATATATATATATATATATATATATATATATATATATATAATAGTTGTTAAATCTTAGCTAAAACCTTTAAAAAAATTAAAAAAAAAATATTTCTTTAATGATTAATTTTGAGCAAAAACATTTTAGGTTTAGCTTATTTATATTTAACAATTTATTTAATAGTCTTTCATTAATAATAATTATGTATTCACTTACAAATCAAAAATTATAACTTTGATTTAAAAATTACTTTTTTTAATTTACTGAATAAATATATCAAATACATAACTAAAATAATTCAAAATAAAACCTGCTTTAGGAAGAGGATATGTGACATTATAAAAAGATTCAAAATAAGGTAAAATCTTTGAGCCAACATCCATTGAAAAATCAATTTGATTAATTTGGTTTGTCGGAGCATAAAAGTCCATCTTAAAAAAGAAAATAAGTAACTCATTAATAATTAAAAAGTTATTCATAAAGACCATTCAATAAATAAAACTTTGATCTTATGTTAATATGACGATGATGATGATGATGATGATCATGATGATGATGATCATGATCATGATGATGATCATGATGATAATGATTAGGATTGCCATTGTTCTTCTTTTTATGTAGGAGTATGCAATTAAAATTTTAATTTTAATAAGGATACCACACTATCCTACAAAAAAAGGAGGACAATTTGAGCCTTGATGATAATGATGATTACCTGTACTTTATTTTTTGAGTTCACTGCAAATACTGTTTTGAAAGAAAATTCACCAATCACAAATGCAACAAGGTAAGTTGGCATTTTTGGTGTAACATCAAAGTAATTGGTTATTTTTCCACCTTGAGTTTCATTCCTTACAATAGGCATATTGCTAACTGATATAAACGTCTTCGAATGTGACAGTGAAATTTTAAATGTAGCTTTAAAAGCAGGTTCATCAAAACATGGAAAAGCAATTCTTGCATCAACTGGTTGAAATTGTGTAGAAGCTACAGGACTAAAAAAATATACTATTACATGAAAAAATTTAATTATAAATGATTTAAAACACTTAATTAAAATATAAAATAGATATTGTAAAAGAGTAAGCATAAAATACTATAGAATAAAATAATTATACATATTAAACTATACATTACACAGTAAAACTATACATTACACAATAAAACTATACATTACACAATAAAACTATACATTACATAATAAAACTATACATTACACAATAAAACTATACATTACACAATAAAACTATACATTACATAATAAAACTATACATTACACAATAAAACTATACATTACACAATAAAACTATACATTACATAATAAAACTATACATTACACAATAAAACTATACACAATAAAACTATACACAATAAAACTATACACAATAAAACTATACATTACACAATAAAACTATACACAATAAAACTATACACAATAAAACTTTACATTACACAGTAAAACTATAAATAAAAAAAGTAAAAAAAATAAGCACAAAAGTACTATTGTATGTAATAGTAAAAAACAAATTTACTTAATTTTTTTTTTCAATTTAAAATTATTTCAAAATATTACATGAAATTAAGTTACCTTTCTGTTCCATCATTTCTCTTATATGAAGATTTGTAAAAACCTTTCAAATTATCCCTGAGTTTATATTTAAACTCATAATGAAGAAAATATTTTCCTTTTGTTAACTTTTCACCTAATTCCATAACATGATACTGATTTTTCTCAAAAAAAAATGTTCTTTTTGGAACAATCTCTTTATTTTCAGACATTATTTTAGCTGCGAAGAAATCATATTTGTAAGCATGTATGATAATATATTCTGTTGGAGATTTTACTTCAACAGTAACATTGCATTGTCCATCAACTTGATCAGTAAACATATCGACATCAAGAAATATGTCATAACTTGATGGGATAATATTAGAAGGTAATCTGATGTTATTATAACTTTCATTTCCTGTAGAAATGGGTACATTTTGCGTTGTTGATACAGTTTCTGCAGTAGTTCTAACTACTTCTGTAGGTGTTCCACTAACTTGACCTGATGTATTATAAATTTATTACTAATAACAAATAATATTAAGCAAAAACTAATAACAGTTAATATTTAGCAGAAAATAATTATACGTTATACATAAAGACTTGTTGATTCTCCTGCATTTAGCCGAAGCTTTCTACATTTTGAAGAGCAATTTATCTTCAGACTGCTTTTTATATAATTTTAGAAATCTCCCTCATTTTTTTAAAAATTTTTAATTTCTAGATTGTTTTTTTGTTTTAATTAAAACCTTTATACTTATGTTTGGCAAATTTGTGAAAAAAAAAATAATTATGTAACTAATTAATTATTAGATATTACAAAATTTTTTTAAACAAAAACTTTTTTTTTTTAAACTAAAAAGGTGTTAACACTTTTTGATGTTAACACTTTTTGATGTGTTAACACGTTTTGTTATGTTTCCCAGAACGTTTTTTTTTTTGGTGAAAAAAAAGTATAATTTTAATAGTTCTATTACAAAATAAAGTATTTTAATAAAATTTTATTTACATTTACACTTTTTTTAGTACTTGATTGATAATACAAGGTTTATGTACCCTATATATATTATATATATTATGTACCCTATATACTTATATATATATATATATATATATATATATATATATATATATATATAATATATATATATATATATATATATATATATATATATATATATATATATATATATATATATATATATATATATATATATATATATATATATATATATATATATATATATATATATATATATATATATATATATATATATATATATATATATATATATACAGTCATTAAGATTAATTACAACAACAATAATTATTTGGCGCTACTCGACTTTCTCCTCCACATTTCACCTTGAGTTCAACTTGTCCACGATGGGTAGGATAGACATTTGGCATATTTCTCGGAAATCCAGTAGTTTTTATTAGGGGTGTAATTTTAAATTCCGGGTAAAATCGGATTTACCAGAATTGTTAGTAAAATTCCGGCCGGAACAAGAGTTTTATCTAACTTTTACCTTCAAGATTGAAAGTGAAAGCACCTCAGCATCGTGGCCAGAAGCGTCAATGATATATCAAGAATGATAAAAGAGTTATTTTTAGTATATCATTTAGAAGCGTAGTGATGGGCCCGCAGTGCCCGCAGCCGCGGGAGGGCCCAGACTTATTAGGGGCCCAAGCCTAATTTTTCAAATATATTTAATTACATTTTTGCCATTATTGTATATCTAAGAATTACAAATTCTTAGCTATACAATGTGTAACATACTTGTTTCCATTAAATTAAATCAAACTTGTATTTAAAAATAAAAGGCTTTTGTTTTCATGTTGTTGTTTTTTTGTTCTATGATTCCGATATTTTCGGATACGGATGTAACGAAAACAGTTTATTTTATTTTTACGCGCCAATTTTCTCCAAATAACCTATTAACAAATTCATAATAGTTTCTGAACTATCTTTTTACCGATGAAATAACCTACTATCAAACTCGTGGATAAACTCCATCCATAATGCATCTTATGATCTAAAAATTCACACATGGCTTCATAATGTGTATATCTAAAATTCCAGTTTACAGCATATACCTTCTGATGACTGATTTCGTAAATATATACGTATTTCGGCGAAAGTGTATTTGATTCACGGGGTTAGGGGTGGCTTTTCTTATTCAATTTCAATTAAAAAAAAAGCTAAAATAAATCATCGTTTTAATCACACGTGAATCAAACGATGCCCGTATTTCATTAAAAAACAGTGATTTTTATGTCTATTTCGCTTAAAATTACTATTTAACTGTAATTTTGACACATAGTTGTAAACTAGAATTTGAGATCCAAATGAAATTTAACTTTATAAGTGATAATATTGATAGTTAAGAAAACCGTCATTTAGTCTATCCAGCTGATTATTCCTAATTTTAGTACTAGTGTTTAAAACAAATTAAATTTTAATACCTATATAGCTTTTAAAGAGCAGATAAATAGTCCTAATTCAATGATAAAGATGGTAATTTTTTGCATCTTTTCATAAAAATTAAAAAATTGCAGACGTTTTGGATTAAATTTCGTATTTCTTAAAATAAAGTTATGGGAGTTTTAAAGGCAAAAAAAATCGCGTATAAATACATAACATATTTCATTAATTTAATTCTTGTTTCACTTAAATCTAATATTTTGTTTTTATTTGTTTTTATTATTTTATATATTGAAACTTTTAACTTGCATGATATTTATATTTAAAATTCTTTTTTTATTTTCTACTTGTCTATTTAGATTAAAATTAAAATATTTACTTTAATAGGTATCCAAATCTTTTTAACTATTTAAAATTTAAATAACATTTAAAATGAGACTATTCTCAGAGGCAGGTAACATTTTTGATAAAAAAAGAGCTAGTTTGTTGCCCTAAACTGGATAGCAACTCTTTTTGCACCACAATGTTCCTAAATTTCTAGAAATACTTACATAATTCATTATTGAAAATAAAATTACAAAGTGTTCGTTAAGAAATCTATATTTTTCACCTAGGTTTAACTACAGTTCTTCATTGCCTTGTAGAACAATGATTTTTTAATTTAATTTACAAAGCCTGTGTTGTATATCTTAAAAAGCCTGTGTTGTATATCGTAAAAAATGAATTCCAGCATTCCTGCTTAAATTATTGCAATTCCGACCGGAGCCGGAATAAACTAAAACACTCAAATTCCAGTCGGAACGGAATTCCGGTACATCACAAGTTTTTATCGAAACTCCTAGTCTCGCGTCGATATAAATCCGTAATTCTTTAATTACACAATTCCTTAGCTCGTACAATTTGAGTAGGTGGTTTTACAAATTTTGGGGTGTAGTGATAAGGCAAGTATTGTCTTCTTTTAACCCCGGTCATGTAGATCTTATTTATATTACACGGCATTGTATTTTTTTTTTTTACTGACGAAATAAATAAATAAAAATTAAAAAAAAACAAAAAAAAATAAATAAATAAATAAAAATAAAAATACGTTGAGTCCTAGTGTATAGCGGTGGAGAGCTTGGCATTAGTTTAGGAAAATATTGTGCGTAGTTTCCAAATATAGGAGAATATATCTTTAGGGAATAATATTTAACCCTATTTAAATCAGTCAAACCAACATGCAGCATATATAATACCTTTACATTTAAACACTGTAATCTTCTTAAGGATAACGTCCATCTTGTCACTGCCAATGAAGTATAATCTATCATAAATCATATGACTTTTGGTGAAACAGCTGACCATTTTGGACTTCAGTTGGAGCATTATTTTTATGCTAGCCCCAATTACTTTAATCATTTTGTTTTTCTTCTATGCTTTACCATGGGTACATGTCCATCGGTGCTTCACGCTCTGTTATTTCTTCTGTGGTTGAAGATAAGAATGGCGACATCTCCAATTCTGCTAATTATTGTCCCATGGCTTTGGTTACAGTTTTTTCAAAGATTCTGAAACTCATTTTTTACTCACGTGTTAATTAAAAATTTTATTGGGACTCCTAATCAATTTAAATTTAAGAAAAACCATAGCACTTTTATGCCTGTTCCTATTTTAAAAGATATTTTAAATTTTTACCTGTCACATGGCTCAAATATGCATGTAGCATATTTGAGCCATGTGACAGGTAAAAGTTTAATAAAGTGCGTCTTGACACACTGTTTATGAAACTTTCTAAAATTATCTCTGCTGTAAATGCTGTAACTTTACGCTTACTCATTGTTTGGTATGCTGGTCAAACAGCTCTAATCTTATGGGATGGCATATTATTCAAAACATTTACCATCAGTAATGGAGTGCGACAAGGAGGTGTATTGTCTCCTCTGCTATTTAATAATTTTAAAACAAGTACGTTTCTATGCTAAAGCTCATCCGTAAAAGGTTCAGCAAAACATAAATACTTACAAAGATCATGTTATTTAATGTCTTTGCTAATCCAATTTATGGATGTCATTTATGGTATTCCTGCGAAAAGACTCATTCCATTGTCTATGTGTCGCATATAAATTATATGATATAATTATGCACTTTGCTTGATGTTAAATAAGCTACTATAGAACAGCGCTAGTAAATTGTTTGTGAAGCATTCATTATTTTGAAGGAGGGTATACCACCTTAATGATGTTATTTGTAAGCAACAATATTTATTATTGCTACTGCAATAGAATACTGAGAACCTTATCATAAAAGCTTCTGTTAACTCTGACAGGTTCCTGAAGTCTCCATTGATGTTTAAATGAAGAACTGAGTCATATTTATAACACTTTATATATTTTTTTCTTTCTGGGTTTTTTTATACTCTAGTGCGTTAATTTTTTATCCATTTTTACCTATTATATATTAATTAATTGATTTGATTAATTGATTGATTGATATATAAATAAGGAAGTGACATTTCCTCGAGTTTTATTCTTAGCGTCACGCTGCACAGTGACTTAAAACAAAAAAAATGGCAATACACCCCTAACCATTTTTTAATAAATTAAGTGCCCTTTGTTCGATAATATTAAATGACAATAATTTTTTATTTCAAAAGTAAAAATAATTTTTTCATAAAGCTTTTATTTTGTATTTTATAGGTAAAAGAAGTGAAAAAAATTGGTATTATTTTTAAAGAAATCTGAAAAATGTGAGGTTTTTATTCAACTAAATTAGAGAACTTGAAATTTAAATAAAAGTGTATACTTATTTTTAAAATAATTTTTAGACTCTATATATTTCAAATATACTAAAAAGAAAAAAATTGTCTGATTTTTTCGTTTAAATTTAAAGACTTCTCTAAAAAAAAGGAGAAAATAATTGTATTTTTTTTTGTTTATATATCACCTAAAAAAATGTTCCACTGAGTTTCAGCAGTAGGGGAAAGCGGGACAACAACATCGAACGTTTTGAAAGCCCTGAGTTATTACAAAACTATCAGTCGTGAAGCAATAATACTTTCTGAGTATGTTTATGTTATTAAAATGATTAACTGCCTGCAT